ACCTCTGACACCAGGAGGCAGCCTCCGAGGAGACACTAGGAGGCAGGGGGATGTGACACAGGACAGGACAGTGAGACAGTGGAGGATGCCCTCGGACAGTGGTCCTCAACCTTCCTAATGCTTCAACCCTTTAATACAATTCCTCGCCTGGTGACCCCCAACCATAAAGTTATTTCGTTGCTACTTCGTGACTGAAATTTTGCTACTGTTATGAATCGTAATGTAAATATCTGATTCCCTCCACCCTGGTCTGCAGGGACTGCTGGAAATGGCTCCTGGATGTGTCAGACTCTTGCTTCCCGTGATCTGCTGGGATGGGGGGGGGAATGGCTCCTGGATGTGTCAGACTCTTGCTTCCCGTGATCTGCTGGGATGAGGGGGCGGGGACTATTATCTAACGGGCTCTATTGTCAGTCAGGATAGGATTTGGAGTGGCTTAGACCTCAGTCCCACTGAGGCTGTGTGTGGTTCAGTCGCCACATGTTTTCTCTCCCTCCCTCCCTCCCTTCCTCCCTTCCTCCCTTCCTCTCTCTCTCCCATCTTTCCTTCCTTTGTTTCTTCTCCCTCTTCCTTTCCTCTAGAACAAGGCCATAGACTTGTAACCAAACAATAAAGGACTCTCACTGTGTGTGAGTGGCATGTTCTGTCTGTCACAGAGTGGTGAAGACCTAGACCTCAGGTTGGGAATTGGTTGGGACACCACCAACCACTAACCCACTGAAGCCTTGAGTGGTCCCCAGTTCCTACTGCCTACGGAGTCCTTCTCCAGGACCAGCCCAAGGGACCAGAGTGGCTCCTGACACCCCTGGGTTCTGAGGGCAGGTCTCAGTTCCATCCTGCTTTTGCAAGTCAGGATTCACTTTGCCCCTAGACCCAACGTCATGCCTGGCTTTGGGACCACTGAGCTGACTCAGAGATCAAATGGGGCAGGGTGTATGGGTGTTTACTTCTAACAGGACAGAACCCAGCCCTGTGTCCTGAGTGCTCCCAGGGTGTGGTGGTTTGAATAAGAAGAGCTCCTACAGGCTCCTATATTTGAGTGCTTGGTCACCAGGGAGTGGAACTCTTTGAAAGGGTTAGAAGGATTAGGAGGTGTGGTGTAGGGGAAGCTGTAGCCACACCTACTTAGGGGCTGGCTACAGGTGTGCCTGACCACGCCCTCACAAGCTTGCATGGGAGTGGTCAGAGGACGTAGGGTGACTGCGTTTTCGCTTTCGGTTTCTTTTTTCTGCCACGCTGGCTGGCTAGGTTGCTCTGTAAGTAAGGCTTTTCCCTGTTAAATACCCTTATATTTCTACCTGACTCCGTATTGGTAATTTCCCACTATAGTGTGGCCTTATTGGAGGAAGTGTGTTACTGGGGGTGGGCTTCGAGGTTTCAAAAGCCCATTTCAGGTACAATCTCTTTCCCCTGTTTGTAGATCAGGATGCAGCTCTCATCCTATGGTTGATGGATTTGGTGCAAACATTGTGAGTGAAGGGACCAGCTCCCCATTTCAGCGGCCATAACAGCCTAACGCGTTCTTGCCTGAGCTTGCCTTGGTCACTAGGAGGTCAGATGCCTCCTGCCTTGTGGCAAGGAACCAATCAGAAGTTAGCTGGTAGTGCTATGCTTTATGGCTCTGGGTGTGCTTTATGGACAAGTGCACAGCAATGACATGCAGAGCATAGCAACCAGAGCATAGGCCCTGGGAGGGCCTATGGGCCATAACAACCAGTTGACCAATCAACACAGGGCAAGTCCTCCAAGCCTGGAGGCACACCAATCCTGAGCCTGTGTGTACCCCTAGACACTCCCCTTACGCTTGTTCCCTTGGCTTCTCAGGGTCTTTCCCCAGCCATCTGCCATGGTGGGTGGATAGAAGGCCTGAGCTAACATGGGGTTAGCTCGTTAAACAACTGCAATAAAGCCTCATGCTGTTTGCATCAAGTTTTCGCCTCTGCCTGGTGATTGGGGTCGTTGGGGTCGCCGCGGTCCTGGGCTGACATCCTGGGGGCCTGAGCCTCCGGGGGTCTTTCATGAGGACTCAGCCTCACAGGGATGTCCTACTGTGTTTCCTAAGCATGCCATCCTAAGGCTATTCAAAGGTAAAGGCTGAAAGAGTGGAGCTGGATCTCATCAGAAATGCAGAATTGGAAAGGCCATACATGGCTGGAGTGTGAGTTGCAGAAGTCCTGGAGCCGGGACACACGCTGTCCAGGGCACGGTCCTCAGCTGTCCCTCCTCCTCTGGCCTGACTGGATCAGTGGCATGCTTAGTGTTCCAAGAAGAAAGGTCCTCCAGCTAGGGAGCTGAGAGTCTAATAACGGGGGTTCCCAACTGGGGCCAGCTTCAAGTGAGTCCAGGCAGGGCTGTGGAAATGCCGGGAGCTAGCAGCAATGGGGTATCCTGACCACTGCCAGCTCCCAGGGACCAGGGAAGTGGCAGGTGCACATTCAAAATGGTGCTGAGAGCCGCAGCTGTAGCTGCGGCGTCTGCATTGCAGGGGAGATGTCCCTATCTCCTGCTAGTGCCACCCATTGGCCAAACCAACCAGAACCTCGGGAGGGGAGACAGGCTACTGGTATGGTCCACTAAAGCCTCCCTAAGGACACAGAGTGAGTGGGAAAGGGGACAGCCGCCAGCACAACACACAGAATCTTTGGCACACTGGACATTGGTGAGACCCTCCAGTAGCTAGACCCACTTGTAATGCAGGGGAAGACCACCAGGCAGCCCAAGAGCCATTCCTCAGAGTCCCTAGGGAAACAAGGACTAGATGTTTGAAGCTAGCGAGGGCTTCTAGTGAGGAGATAGAGTGCTTAGACACACAAGGAGCCTACAGGAGCCCTCCGAGTTCTCAGAAACCCTCAGAGACCCCAGGCCTTAGTCCCGCTTCTATTGCTGCGAAGAGACAGCATGACCAAAGCAACTCTCCCACAGGAACAGCATTTAATGGGGGCTGGCTTGCAGTTTCAGAGGTTTAGTCCATTCTCATCATGGCAGGGAGCATGGTGGCATGCGTGGTGCTGGAGCAGCAGCTGAGAGCTACATCGTGATCTGCAGGCTCAGAGAGACTGGGCCTGGCACCGGCTTTTGGAACCACTCCCAGTAACACACTTCCTCCAACAAGACCACATCTTCTAATCCTTCTAATTGTTTCTGACAGTTCCACTCCCTGGTGACTAAGCATTAAAATCTAGGAGCCTATGGGGGCCATATTCTTATTCAAACCACCACACCCTGGGAGCATTTAGAGCCTTTAGGAGCACTCAGAGCCTACAGAGGTGCTCACTGAAGGACATGGCAGCTGGGCCATGGAGTCACTTGGTGACTCCATGACACTCCCAAGCACTACGCCCCTTTTTCTTCATTTATGTGATGGGGACAGTCATATGATCTGAGCACTGATGGTCCATCCATGTGGCAGGTAGGTGAGGTGACACCACATCTGTCTGCATGTGCTCTAGAGGCCACACAGCTCCTTGGCCTCAGGTGGACTCCCATTGTCTTGGGGTAAAGGGAGATTTTATCCTGATGACCTCATCAGCCAACAGCCTTCCTTTGGAGGAAGCCGGGTACTGGGAAAGCTTGGCTCATTGAACAGCCAGGAAGCCCAGACAAGTCCATGACATGAGGGCCCAAGAATGAGGATTAGATTTCTGCCAAGCAAGAAGGCACATGGGGAGGTCACTGCCTGCCTGCCCTGTCCCACGGCCACTCATTCAGCACATTCACTCAGATGCAGGCACCACCCTCAAGGGCCCCACTTCTGAATAAGGGGTGCTGTTCCCTGGGGCTGTGGGTTATGGACTCCATGCTTAGTGCCCTGTGCACTTTGCGGTGCATTCCTGTCCTCCAGACGACCTGGCTTTCTAATGGGATCCTGAAAATGTACAGGAGCTTTTCCTGAAAGCCCAGAGATCTGAGGCCATGGGCCTGGACTGGGCTGCGTCATTATCTTGAGCTAGGGTCCAGGAAGCCATGCCAGTACCAGAACCGATTGGATCTGGGCCCTCTGGAAGAACCCATGACATCACTAGGACAGTCCACTGGAAAAATAACTACTTTCACATGGCAACAGATCCTGATGTCAGCCCTACAGCTGGGGACCTCTCTGTGAAGGGAGTAGGGCCACTTGACATCTTAGGGTCATGCTCCCCTGCATCAGGCTCCCTCTTCTGGCCTTTAAGGGCACCTATACTGACATGTACATGCATATGCGTGTGCGCACACACCACACACACACACACACACACACACAATAAAAAACCAAACCAATCCAACCAACCAACCAACCAAACAAACAAACAAAAAACAAAGAAACCCAGATGTGCTGGTTTATTTCAAGCCATTGCATTGATACCAGCCCAAGGCAGAGTGGGCGTGCCTCCTTGGAGGAGAGCCACCCAGGCAGAGATGGCTTTCTCCCAGATCAGGCCTTCAGGGTTTGCCACATCTGTCCTGGTTGGATGCCCCCACACCTAGCTTAGGGCATTGGAGGGGTCTGTCCTTCCTGCCAGACTGGGTCAGTGTTCTGTAGCTGTTAGCATTGTATATGGAGTCTGAGAGGCTCTGCCGGGAAGAGCAGGAACACCTCACAAGAGCTCCAGGTTATCCAACTTGAAAGGGAGGAGCCATGAGGCACTCCATACAATCAAACCATGTCATCAAGGCCAGGGCACCAGGAGAAATGGAAGGGAGCCTGGGACGCTCAGAGGACACACACAATGGTGGAATGGGTTTCTTGGGTGTCCTTTACCGAAAAAGAGGGTCTTAAGGGTGCAGGCCTAGGAGACACTGGCCCTGGGTTGCTGCAGGTCAGAAGCTAGCCTCAGGTGGAGGCGTGCACGAACTGGGCCGGGTGCCCGCCTCCCCTAGGGGTTCCCTGTGCCTGCTGAGAGCGCCCGAGCCGCGAGGGGGCGACGGCAGCGAGGGCGGCGCTCGCTAGGCGGGGGATTCAAGCGCGTTATAAGGCGCGGACTGGACCCGGGGCGCTCGCTGCTGCCGCCACCGCCGGCATGGCCTCGGCCCGCAACCCCGCTGGAGCGCTCCTGCTGCTCACCTGCGCCAGCCTGATCGCCGCCATGGGCCTCGGTATGCCGGAGCCCGCCGCGCCCGTGGGGAATCAGGCACATCCACGGCCTCCCGGCAGCCCACCGGTAAGACGCGGTTGCGCCCCAGACCTCCCTGTCCCAGGGGACCAGAGAAGGCAGGAAGGTGGCACTCCTGGCTGCGCAGTATCCAACACCCCCAAACGCCCCTTTCAGGGGCTCAGGGTTGTGTGGATGCATCCTCTGCATGGTGGCGTTGGCGGCAGAATTTTACTAGGTCAGTAAGAGAAGTTGGGAAAGGTGTGAATGCAGATAACTTGCTCCTCGCGAAACTGGAAGACTAGTAAGAGAGCAGGGCTCTCAGACCTAGTTTCTTTTTGTTGGACGACTCTGTTAGGTGACTGCTAGTGAGAAAGGAGTGATGTAACCAGGCCCCTTCCTTCCCAGGATCTCCACCTGAAATGCTGGGGAGGGGGCGAGGAGCGCGAGGGATGCAGGCTGGGGAGGGTGTGGCCAGAGGCCTGGGGAGCGCGGATTGGCAGCCTTCACTTGAGTGGCTCAGCCCTGGAGGCTCTTGAAAGAGTCTCTGTGGGCCTGGCACAAGGAGACAGACCTCAGGCCAGAGTTCTTCTTTCTCAGCACCCAAGATACAAAAAAAAAAAAAAAAAAATCAACTAAAACATCTGGAGATGGTTACAACTCTGGGCTCCCTCTGCAAGGTATCCCACAGTCCTGCCTCACCCAGCTCCCTCATTTGGTCGGTATCACTTGAGCTATGAAACTTCAAAACTTTCATGAGGTCAAGTCATAATTAACAGGAAGCAGGGAGTGGGCCCCAACTTCCCAATGGGGTTTTACCCATGGACCCTCTTTGGAATGCCAAGGTGTCACCAGCTCCCTGATAGCTAGAACTTGACTGGCCCGGGCATCTGCCCAGCCCCCATGCCAACTCCTGAGGCTCTAGATAACATGGCTAACAGTGGTCTGAGTCCAAACACAGGTCACTGGTCCCCTGGAAAGGTCAGCACACACATTTCCACTGACTGTATCAGATCAGCAAGAAGCTTAGAAGCTTCCATCTTGCCAGTATAGCAGCCTGGCCTGTGATCCACAAGGCACTCATTTGGGTCCTTCTGAGATCCGGTCTTTGTATCTGTGCCCATGACTTCTAAGGTGCCTTGAACCATTGCCTTCCCAGATGGCAGTCCTGCATGGAACCCAGACTGCATGAGGTCCACTGACTGTTGTATTTGCTAAAGGCCTCTGCCAGAAAATAAGGCTCCTCTCAGAACTAGGCTCCTTGGGCCAGTGTTTTAAAAGCGCTGAGAAAGATAGAGGTCCCGTGCAGTGGCCCTCTGTCCACCATGGCCTGTGACCACAGTGGCTGGTCTCCTTGGCATTTCTGACAGAGTAGAGAAAATAGGACCTGCCGTCAGTCAGGATTCACATATTCATAGTCGCCTCCTGAGCACCCGTGGGTGCCAATGACTATCAAGGATGGTGAGATTGTTCTAGCATATCTCGAGGAAGGACAGGAAGATGTATCCCAGAGCACATGCTGCAGAGTCCTGTCTCCCACCTTCCTATAGCCTGGGCTCTCCCAGGAGTGAGGTGAGGTTTCATCCCCATGGGCAGCGTGCTACCAAGCAACACCACAGAGCAAACCGACCGACTTGAGACCATCTGTGTTCTAGGAGCCCACCATGGCGCAAGCACACAGTGTGGATCCCCGAGATGCCTGGATGCTCTTTGTTAGGCAGAGCGACAAGGGCATCAACAGTAGGAGGAGGAGCAGGACCAAGGCCAGGAGGCTGAAGGTGAGCAGCTTGTGCTACCACCCTCACCAGCCCCCTAGCACCCCTGTCTCCAACAGCAAATGCCATGGAAAGACCAAGTACAAAGCCGGGGTCCAGCAAGCTTGGAATTAGGAGCCTGGGTCCAATCATCCACCCCTTAGGATGCCAGGGCCCTCCCTAGATTTCCCCTCATGTCCAAAGAGAGAAGCTTGCCCAACACGTGTCTGGGAGTCAGGGTAGCTTCAGACTGATGGAGTGAAAGAGGGAGGCCCTCACAGGATGGCTCTGGCCTGGGCAGGAAGTTGGCACTTGGACCTGATGGGTGACTCCTACAGTGAGCTCCTCGAAGTGACTCTGGATCAAGGCTGGGCCTTACTGTGTTTTGGCCTTCTCTACTGAGGTCAGCCTTGGCTGCCCAGGGTCTGGGCCTGAGAGGTGGTGGGTTGGCCCTGCACCCTTAGTCATCTGACCTTGCCCAGGCTTCTCTATGCAGGAGCTTGCCTCCCTTCTCTTCGGTCCCCACCCAAACTAGTACAAACTCCTTCAGGGGCCCCAGAATCAAGTGCACTGGAGACTTGCTGGTGTGTCCCATTGCAGAATGAGATGCAGGTCCCCAGAAGCAGCCTAGAGTAGTGGTCCTCTCTCTGGGAACACACCAGGAGGGGCAAACACAGTGTTCTGCAAACAGAGCCTGCCCTGCACCACCCCAAGTGAACTTCTTACCTGCATAATTCCATCCTCACCCTCTCTGGGCCTGTGGCTTTCACTCCCTGCTTGATGACAGAGCGACATGAGAGCCTAAAGGACCTCAACCAAGAAGGGAAGAGCCCAGAGCCATCGGGGAGCTCCCCTGCCTGCCTCTCTCTAGCAGGACCTGGCAGAGGGGTCAGCCATGCCCTTCCTTCCCTCAAATGTTCTCTCCCCTACCTTCCCTTCCAGCTTGGCCTGCCAGGACCCCCAGGGCCACCAGGTCCTCAGGGCCCCCCAGGTCCCTTTATCCCATCTGAAGTTCTGCTGAAGGAGTTCCAGCTATTGCTGAAAGGTAAGGGTGCCACCCTGTGGTAATCCCGCAGGGCATCTCTAGAGGACAGTGTTGAGAGAACATAGGCTAAGTTGCTCGCCAGTTGGCAGCCCTACCTGCCATGGGGCGGGTTAGGGGGTGGGAGAAATGTGGCAGGCAGAGGCCTCATGGAAGAAGACAGACTGCCTTTTATTGTTCTTCACTGGGGACCACCCAAATCTCCACGCTAGGAGACCAGTCCAGGGCTGGGGGGTGGCTGTCACTATCTCCCGGAGTTGACTGTACCAGAGGGAACTGCTAGGAGCCCTTTCTCTGCTTCCATCTCATGGCTTACTTGGTTTTAAACACAATTCCAGGGCCTGAAGAACCTTTGCGTTACCCCCAGTGTAGTCACAATAGGTATTTATACACAACTTTTCCAAAAATACGGGTGTGACAGGTAAGGCTAGAGGACAAGGATGGTGGATATTCACCAGCTAGAGTTTGAGGCAGACCGTGTGAAGGGAAACCGGTCCTGCAGGGTTAGGCAGGAGTGTCCCCAGGACCTCACCAGGGCTGCCAGCCTCAGTCCCCACGCTCCGGGGCCGCAGGCGGGTGGACAGAATGATCCACTGACCGCTCTGTGTCAGGAGCAGTGCTGCAGCGGGAGAGCACGGAGCCCAAGCACTGCACCAGCGATTTCACTACACCAGCCTCCGCCAGCCCCTCCCGAGTTGCGACCACCCAGGATGGTGACAACCAGGACCCAGGGCCCGTGTTGGCGCTGCTGGCTGCGACCCTGGCCCAGGGCCCACGGGCGCCACGAGTGGAGGCCGCGTTCCACTGTCGCCTGCGCCGGGATACACAGGTGGAGCGGCGTGCTCTTCATGAGCTCGGGGTCTACTACCTGGTGAGTGGGGTGCGCCCGGCTGGGTGGAGCAGGGCGGGGCCCCGCGTGACCACAGTGATCACGTCTGTGTGCCCTATAGCCGGACGACGTCGAGGGAGCCTTCCACCGAGGCTCGGGCTTGAACCTGACCAGCGGCCAGTACACCGCACCAGTGGCTGGGTTCTCTTCTCTCCCTGGCCCACCCACCCGGGGGGGGGGCCGGGGGGGGTGGGGGGGGGCGGGGCCCCGCGTGACCACAGTGATCACGGCTGTGTGCCCTATAGCCGGACGACGTCGAGGGAGCCTTCCACCGAGGCTCGGGCTTGAACCTGACCAGCGGCCAGTACACTGCACCAGTGGCTGGCTTCTATGCTCTCGCTGCCACTCTGCACGTGGGTGAGGCCCGGGGCGTGGTTGGTGGGGTGCCCGCTGCCCTGGCCTTGTCAGCACCCACGTGACCAATCACCTGGACTTGGCCTCCCTGTAGCACTCACAGAGCAGCCAAGAGGAGCACCACGACCTCGGGACCGTCTGCGCCTGCTGATCTGCATCCAGTCTCTCTGCCAGCACAACGCGTGAGTGGGCGCTGCAGCCTGGACCCCGCCAGTGTAGACAGCCTCCTCTATTCCTACTACTGTCGAGGCATGGGCGACCCCGACCCTATCTTGCCCTACCTCCTTCCCAGGACCTATGAGACAGGCCCTTTGCTGTTTGCCTCCTTTCTGACCCTTCCTGACACCAGGACTCATTCAGAGGACAGAGGGAGTGTTTTATCTGAAGGGGGCCTTCGGGGGAATTCCACAAGCCCCCTCTTTAGTCACTTTCCCAGGCCTCATCTGTGGAAATCCCCCCCATGACTTAAGTTGCTCATCGCTGGTGGTATCCACCCTGTGTGCCTAGCTTGGTCCAGGAGAACAGAGACTGTGGCCTTCTCTGCCTGGCACCTGGAATGGAGGCCAGGCACAGAGCATGCACTACTCTGTGAGTTGGAGTGTGTGTGAATGAACAGCGAAAGTCGCAGATTTGGACTTCCTGGATCTGTTGGCTTTCTGTGACACCTGCCGCCTTCCATCTTGGTCTGTACATGTTTCTCATTAGAGAACCAGGACTTTGCGCCCTTTGCATGGCTCCAGTCTTTCCTCCTCCTGAGAACCCAGTTCAAACACCCCTCTCCTAGGGATGATGGCTCTGTACCTGGTACTTTACTGCATATGGTGGTGATCGTTGAATGACAGCTGCTGAGTGCACTGTGAGGGAAGCTGGTGTGGCCTGGGGACAGGCTGACCGTCTTTCTGTCTTGGGCGCAGCTCCCTGGAGACTGTCATGGGGCTGGAGAATAGCAGCGAGCTCTTCACCATCTCAGTAAATGGCATCCTGTATCTGCAGGTGTGTGGGGCTGTGCCGACCATGCAAGAGGTATGGGGGGGTGTTGGGAGGTGTTCAGGAGCATTGGGTATAGCGCCCTTGGACACACCCAAGTGCTGATGCTGGCTTGAGAAGAGCCAGGCTTCAGGTCCCATTCTGCCTCCAGCTCTTGCCCCCCAACATGTGTTGGGGGGGCAATAGTCTCACTTTCAGACCTTCCAAGAATCTGATGTGACAGGTGCTTCCAGTCACCTAGGCCCTCCATGGGGCCAGGGGGAGGGTGGGCACAGAACCTGACACCTGAGCCCTCTGGGATTTATGGGAGGCCCAAGACAGTTATTTTCTACATGGAACCTCAGTGGCAGGCAGTCTCTTGCCACTGTGGATCTGCCTATCGGTAGGGATGCAGGTGACAAAGTGGACTTATTAAAAAGCAAGTGCAGAGAGGTGTGTGGAATGATGGCTGAGCACTCACACAGCTCTGCTGAGCTCTGGGATGGGTGGTTTGGCTCAAGCCAGCTGTAGTGCTGGAAGCATGAATTCTGTTGACCTCTTAAGGGTGTGCACCATGTGGGCCTCAGGTGCAACTATCCCTGGTGGATCTCAGTCCTTACCATGGCACTTTCCAGAGAATGTTATGCCTCTGATGTGTGCACCATAGTGGGGCAGCAAGGTCAGAGCAGTGCTCACGATGGCTCTGCAGGCCATGGCAGGAAGGCCTGGGAGACAAGCTATGTGGCACAGGGACCTGCTAGCCTCTTAAGCCCCACCCGGGCCCTGGGCAGGAGCTTGCTCCCATAGACCGAGGCATGAAGCACTGGGGAGCAATAGAGTAAGAGCCAGATGTACTAGTTCTGGGCACAGGACTAGTCAACACTGGCTCTGGACTTAGGTCTGTCCTTCTCCCATATGGGACAGAGTAGGCCAGTGTGGACAATGACCATGGTGAGTGAGCACCACAGGCTGCCCAGGGCCAGCCTGGTATCTGACACATTCCCTTCCCTGCAGACAGGACACTACACCTCCGTCTTCTTGGACAATGCCAGCGGCTCCTCCCTCACGGTCCGAAGCGGCTCCCACTTCAGTGCTATCCTCCTGGGCCTGTGAGTGGCTACTGTGGGCTTTCACCAAGCAGAATGGTCTGATGTCTACAGTGTGAGGTGGCAGTGGCTCTGTGCAGGAGGAAGCCCATTGGACCTCTCCAGACCCTGGCCACTGTATCACCTCTTAGCACAATCATCCTAGACATTCCTGAAAAGATGATGGAGGAAAGGAGGCTCTCCCAGAAGCAACAGCATTTTGTGGGTATCCTAAGCCCTGCTTGGCTCTTGTGGGACCATCCAGCCTACTTTGTAGCACTTGCTATGGTCCGCAGGTGCAGAGCTGGTACCCTTGTGTCTCTAGACAGCACCAAATTCCTTCCTATGGCCCAGCATCCTCAGCACTTTGTAGGGAGCTCTACCCAGGCCACTACCTGGAACAGCTCATCCTGTATAGGGCAGGGCTATGGGGAAATGGTTGTAGGTCCTTAGTGCTCAGGAGGGGAGCCCAGGCCTTCTTGGACTACACACCCTGTCTACCTAGGTTCCTGGGTCTTCCCATGAGAAACTGAAGGGCTGCCAGCCTACAGCTTGTCTCAGTGCAGTCTCCACATTTTTATCAAAATGTTGGACTGGCCCCACACAGGCAGTGGAGATGACTGGGACCTCCAAGGTCCCAGTAGCTCCCTGGTTAAGAGTTGACAACAGCACAGCCATCCCACCAGCTGCTTTGGGATCTCTTGGCCTAGCAGTACTCAAGCCTGTGGATAGTTGCCAGTTGCTTCATCTTTTGGCTAACCTCAGGATGTTACCTCAGCAAGCCTGAATGCCCTTCTATAACCAAACTTCTTCTCAAAGTAGGCTGCCAACACATAGCTCAACAGGGGAATGGAGGGCTGTCCATGAGCAGCCCTGGCCCGATTCTCAGTAGGGCTGGTACCCACCCTACCAGGAAGCACTGTACTGGCCTGGGTCCTGACTCCCTGGCACTTTGATAAGGACATAGGGTAGACACACCCTTCTCTGGATTTCACTTTGTATCCAGTGGGCACAGACATGTTACAGAAGTTATCTTCTATCCTTGAGAAAGCCACATAACGCGCATATCTCAACTGTGCTACACAGCAACTTAAAAGTATTTATTGTGTCATATTGCCTGGAAGAATGTATTTATGTAATGGGGCACACAAAGCGTGACAATGAAGGGCGAGCTCTGGAAAGCGAGGGACAGATGCCTCTAGTCTTGGGGCTCCCCCTGAAGGTGGCAGGGGATGCTCTTACCAACTCGGAAAGGCCACGGTGCCAAGTGTCTCCCAGTCAGACAGTGGCACTTAGGGACATGGGTCACAGCCTCTGGGGCACTGAATGATTCCTAGGTTACAAAAATTTGCTGAATTAAATTGTTATGCTTTCTGATGAGGTGGTGTTCTCTTCCATATGCCAGGACATTCGGGTCCTAGTATCCTAGCAGGAGGATTGCTGCCTCATTCCCTGGGGCCCTCTTTAACTTAGTTTTTTGAACTGCACTTATTTGGGAGGGTGCAGTGTCATACCATATGGAGGTCAGATGACAGCCTAGAAAAGAGGGTCTCTCCTTCCACTTTGTGGAGACTCAATTTAGGTCCTTGCCGAGAAGCCAGCTCACTGGGCCCCAAATCAGTTACTTTAAAAAGGTTTTATTCCTTTTTGTATGTAGTCTGTGCAGGCATGTACTCATGTAAGCATGTGAATGTGGGTGATCAATCTAGGGTGGTGTTCCCCAGGAGCCAGGCACCTTGTTTTATGCAGATAGCATCTCACCAAGCCCCAAGGATCTGCCTGTTCCCAACTCTGCTGTCAGTCCTGGAACTCGTTCTGGAGACCAGGCTGGGCTCCAACTCGGAGATCCGCCTGCCTCCCGAGTGCTGGAGTTAAAGGCGTGCACCACCACTGCCTGGCCAGGCTTGGCCTTTTATGTGGGTGCTGGGGACCATTTTCACCAAATGAGCCGTTTCCAGCTCCATCCCACCCTATTCCCAGGCCCTGCCATGTTTTTTTGGGGGTCACAGGAATGCACCCCCACGCCTGGTTTATATGGTGCCTAGGGTAGAAACCAGGATTCCATGCATGCTAGGAAAGCCCTTATCAACTTAAGACACATCTTCAGCCTTCAGTGGGTTTTGGAGACAGTGTGTTACATGTAACCCAGGCTGGCCTCCTGAATGTTTGAATGTACAGATGTCCCTGCGTTTAATTTCTATTCATGGCTTTTCCACGACAGACCTGAGAAGTTATTTATGGTTTAGACAAGAGGTTTTGAGGTCCTTGTAGCATCTACATCCATAGCACATTCCCTCCCTAATTGGCCAACTGGTTGTATGGCTGGGGAAGAGAAAGGCGGTGATAGTTACAAAAACAGGTCTGGAAAGGCACCTGTGCAACCCCAACAGCCCAGAGCCAGTGTTTACAGAGGAAGCTGCAAGAGCTCATCACTAAATGACCAGCACCAACTTCCTACATGGGAAATGTTTGCAGGCAAGTTAAGGGTTCTTCAGGGGACCATATCATGCTCTTGCCCAGAGGTTCCCTGCCATGTTCCCCTCAGGCAGCAGAACCAAGTATTCAACTGTCCTGAGATTGGCAGTGAGTCTGATGCTGTGGGAGTGGTGACATCTGGGTAAAAGCCAGGTCAACAGCTCTTTAGAGTGAGCTGCATGTAGTTGTTTAGGAAGCCTGGTGGGACTGGCACTCCGCGTGGTAACCTCATCTATGGGCCATGTTCCAGCATTTCCTGCTGGAAAAGCTCATGTGTTCTGTACAGAAAGCTGTGCAAGGCCTGGGTGCCACTCCATCATCCCATTGTAGGGTCTCACTTCCCCAAAGCAGTCATAACGAGGGTGAGAACACGTGAACTACAGAACAGGTCATCATGGGCCTGTCCAGGATGCCCAGGATGGTTCTGACAAGGACAGACCCAGAGCACATTCTAAAGCAAACAGTTAACTCAAAGGAAATGAAAGGAACGCAACTGACTAGGAAAAAAAAAAGAAACCTTTATTTACAACCATATAAGTCCCACAGGAGAACACACACTGTGTACAAATAAAATGAACCTCCAAGTCAAGAGCGCATGTGCAGGCCCTCAGTGTCCTATCCTCACTACCATCACCGTCACGTTGTCTGCGGAGCCGCGCTGCACTGCCTTGTTAGCCAGCCTGTTGCAGGCAGCTTCATAGCGGGCATCAACAGCAGGCTTCCCTTCTCGGGTCTGGATCTTGTCATCCTACAGAAGGAAAGGGATCTGGGTGACCAGGATATCCACCTTTGTCGTTCTCCCAAGACACTACAGCCAGGGAAGGGCCTGCTCTGTCCCTAACAAAGACTGGCAGGACAGTGACTGGTGAGCCCCCAACAGGGGAAAATGTCCCTAACAAAGACTGGCAGGACAGTGACTGGTGAGCCCCCAACAGGGTTTATATGGGAAAGACTTAAAGGATTACTCTTGACACAGGGGCTACAGAAGTAAAGAGCAGCTGAGATAAGTAGCACACCCTCTAAGATGTCTCACCTCAAGGCAGGACAAGATGAAGTTCACAGCCTCCTCTGGGGTAAAGACCTTGAAGAGCCCATCACAGGCCAGCAAAATGAACCTACAGCATTAGGAAGAAACAAGGGGGTTTCAGGCAGAAGACCTTGAAAAGGAAGTGATCTGAGGGACAACTTGTGGAAGAGTAGCTGGATGCCTAACATACTCAGTATCCTAAAAACAAAAATAAAAGGTAAAGATAGTGGCACACACATATGTAATCTCAGTCCTCTGGAGGTAGAGAAGGGGCCATTCTGGCTACAGAGCAAGTCTGGGACCAGGTGGGCCACAGAAGACCTTGTCTCAAAAGACCAAAGCCAACTAACTGAGCTTGGTAGTATACACCTTTAATCCCAGCACTCAGCAGACAGAGGCAGGTGGATTCCCAGGCCAGCTTGGACTACATAGTCAGACCCTGTCTCAAAAAATAAAACAAACAAACCCAAAATCAAACCAATAACTTTGTGTCTGTCCAACAACTCAGTGGCCAAATTTTTTTTACAGGAATAAAATTAAGAAAGCTAAAACTCCACTTAGTTGTGGGTGGGATGCTGTACCACAAGAAGGACTACATTTTCCTCATCCACCTCAACATGAGATGCTGCTTTCTGGCACCTCAGAGACAACCACGACAGCCGCAGGTGTGTAGTGAGCATACCCTGTGATCTACCACCACAGGCCCAGAATGGGGAACTATGGGCAAGCTAAGTGAGGCATCCTTGGTTGGGGCTTCACTCCTGAGGACCCAAGATTTCTGGAGTGGATACTCCTCCTTTCTGATCTGAACATAGCCCACTCTCCCCGAGATGACCAGAGGGAGCCTCTGAGCATCCGTGTCACTGTGGCAGCCGCTGTTGTTCTGGCCTTTGCATCCTACCCTGTCCACTTTGCCTCTTCTGACAGGGCACATGCCCAGCCATATTTTCTAAGCACACAGCCTGAGATTGTGACACAGTGGGGACACGTCTAAGCAGGCTTCTCTTTCCAGTCAAAGTCAGAGTAATCAATCATATAGACATGTGTTTGTAACACAGTTGGGGCAGTTACGAAAGCAAAGCAGAGCTCTAGGCTTGGCTCAATCTAGGGCAGAGAAGGCTCTCAAGAAAACCCTAAAAGGGGCCTCCAGAAACACACCCTAAGACTCCAGAATGGCTAACAACATGGGACAGGTGGGCAGGTGTTAGAGCAGGGCACTTCCTGGAAGGCCTGGGAACTGTCCTAGGAGACTGTTATGCACCACCCACCCTGCTTCAGCTCAGTCCTGTTTTCCTGAGCTACTTCCACTCCTTTCTGCTCAGTTTGGCTCAGCCTTCACTATCCTGCTCGGGTCAGGAGAGCTCCCTGCTCTGTAGCCTGGTCCTTAGTCATCCTTGCTAGGCTCCCTGTGCTGCCCTCACAAGCCTGCACCTGGTCTTAATCTACCTGCAACAGGCAACACGTGAACAGAAAGTCCTTCTCAGCCTCTGCCTCTGTGACTTTCTACATTTATGAGCTGAAACCCAGGATCCTGCTCATTCTGTCCCCAGAACTCTTCCCACTCCCCCTCCATTCATCAAGACACCATTACTAGCACAGAACCAGTTGCTTCATGCTGTCACTTGAATGTGTTAACATGGATCTCGACAACACCTGTGATAAAGCAAGTGTCCATCTCATTTGTTCCCTCACCACCATGGAAACCTGCAACCATGGTCTGTCTCTGCACCTGCAGGGCCAGGCACATTGCCTACCCACCCCAACTTCCCCCGGCAAAGACGGAACACAGATTGGAGTCAAGCTGGCAAGAGAAACAAGCCCCTGTGCACGTACACCAACACCTTTGGTGACCATGTGCTTTTTACCTGTCATTGGGGGTCAGCTGACAGCGTCTGATATCCGGCACAGATGTGACCCCACAGCGCTTATACTGCCCATCTCCAATGGAACGGGATACTTCTAGTACGCCCAAGACACGTCCATCTCTAAAATGAGGGGAACAATGTTAGACTCTCAATTTGACAGGTCATGGGTCCCCAAAAGCAGAAACTGGGAGATCATGATATAGTTGGGCCTGACATTTTTGTTTTTCAAGACAGGGTTTCTCTGTGTAGTCCTGGCTGTCCTGGAACTCACTCTGTAGACCAGGCTGGCCTCTCAGAGATCTATCTGCCTCTGCCTTAAGGGCTGGGATTAAAGGTGTGCCACCACTGCTCGGCTGGCTTGACATTTCTTTATCTCAGGTGAGGCACAGACACAACCTAGGTCATTCTAGTCCTGGTGACAACTGGCATAATCCAACAGAACTGCTGGTGGGCTCAACAGTGAATCTCACTACAATGCCTATACCCTGCCCCCAATTTCCCATGCCTAGTTAGTCATTGATAGGATAGGGTGGGTCCTAAGCCCTTAAATGACTACGCATGCAGCCTGTGCTAAAGTGGCCAGGAAAGAGTGGGTTGCATTCTAATTGACGAGGCTAGGCTCTAGGAACCACCGAGGCTGAGACTCCTAGATGCTGAGGTGCTCGCTTCACACCGGCAGTGTCACACTCATACTCTCACTATATCCTCACCCACACTTTTTGGTGAGGAGCAGGGAAGAAAGAGATGAATTGTAAACAGGAAGAGGCACCTAGGGCAGACACCATGGCCCAAGAGAACCAGTGTGGAGTCCCACTGCCCCCAAGAAACATCCTGGCCCACCCTGTCATTGTGACACATGGACCCTCAAGCCATCATTCTTAAAATGTAGTAAATGCCAGAGCAGTGTGGTAATTCAGTGTCACTGAGGTTCCCAAGTCACAAATGAGATGCTGGACAGGAAGATGGGCCAGACAGGCAGTTCTTCCTGGGAGACAGGATCCAGCCCAGCCTTGCCTTGGCCCCTCAGGGTCCCAGTCACCCACAGTGACTCAGTTCAACCACCCTGAATGTTTTTAATCCCTAAAGACTTCTGCTGGCACCTGGGGAAAGTAGGGCATTCTAGAACACATAGTATTAGACAGAATTAGAACAGCATGAGTGCTCAGGAGCACAACTGAACAGGAAGAGTGTGGGTGCTCAGCTTGGGAGCACCCACCTAGGGAACAGCCCTCAGACCATAGCTGTGTGCAGAAACTTCCCACTCTAGTTCTCCCAAGCTATGACTCCTGCTCGTTGTGGATTTGGGGCTCATCTGGCTGCTGAAGGAGGAGGAGACTGCTGACTTCTCTAGCATGTGGGGAAGCCATCTTAGTGAAGCCTATCCATACTGCTGTGTGCAGCCAGGCTAGGAGGCAGGAGCTCCATCCTGGAGAGCAGATCCCAAAGCCAGTGTGTAAACATGAATATGACTATAAGCTCTGGTCCCTGAGGACATGAGACTAGTATTTAGCCCAGGCCCAGGTGCACAGTGCTGATGGACTGCATTGTCAGAAAGCCTCTCCCTGTCTGGCGAGACCCTTCGCTGTAAAATAAAAATAATCTCTCTCCGTGCTCTCAGAGGCCCTGCTGCACACTATCTTCATTGTAATGATCATGTACAAAGTTGCGTGTTTTTTTAAGAAATGCCAGAAAAGATATCAGTAAACAGAGAAGAAAACATGCCCTCTCTAAACGTCTTTCACTCATTTTATGTTTCTAACAATGTGGTAAGGGAGTAAGAGACACACAACATAAACCATAAAAAACTATTTTAAACTGGTGGCATTATAGACATCATGTAGGCACACAGCCATCGCCACTGTCCATCCCAAATTGTTCTCTCTACCCAAACTAAATAAACATCTGTTCTCAGTTAAGCACTAACTCATTCTAATCCCAGGCTCTAGGACTCTGGGTCCTCAACAGGGAGAGTCACAGTGTGTGTTCTTTGCGATTGTCTTATTCATTCCCCACACTGTACTTAAGACTCACCCATGTGGCCTCTATGAGGTTGTCATGCCTCCTGAAGGCTGGTAACACTGTTCTTTATATTTATCCTCCAGTCATCTGCCAATGGGTACCACACTGTTGCCCTCTTGTGGCTACTGAGAGCATGATGTAGCAGTGATTCTCAACCTAAGTTGAGACACCTTTTAATACAGTTTCTCATGTTGTGGAGAGCCTCCACACACAAAATTATTTTGCAGTGTTTAAATCTGTCCTTGAGCTAGCTCAGAAAGAATGAACACCCTGAAATAAGCAACCAGCACAGGCTCCAGTTCTTAAAGCTGGGCAAATGTCAACAGGACAGTGGAGGCCCCTAAAGGAGCCTCCAGCAGCCATGCCTGGGACAGCCTATCACACCAAGAAAAGCACAATTCACACAGCTGCTCACAGACAGGACACACAGCAGGGAGCAGAACCCTTACCCCACCGGAGGTCAGGACGGCTGTTCAGACTCTGAGCAAAGACTCAGACGTTTTCCCTACTTTTCAGAAGAAATAATGCCACTCTCCCATGAGGTTGGCTGCTGATGGGAAGCAGGACTCAGGAGCCACAATACACACACCTTTGCAGACCATCTGTGCAGTGCAGTGCAGTGCAGTGCAGGAGCACACAGCTAAGTATCAAGACTCAGCACAGACAGCAGTCTTCTGCAGGACAGGGCAGCCCCATAATTTTATTTTCAGCACTGTCAATCAAAGCCAGGGCCATTCATGATAGCAGGGTGGCCACTAAGCTACATGCCAGGCCACAATGAACATCTTTGCAAAATTAAAAATCTGAATCTAAACATGATTTTGCATTAATGTGTATGTGCTTGTCTGTTTATGTGCATACACATGTCTATGCACACCAGAAGAGGGTGCTGTATTCCCTAGAATTGCTTGGGACTGAACCGAGTCCTCAGTAAGAGCAATAGGCACTCTTAACTTTGGACCACCTCTCCAGCTCCAACACCCTGAATCAAAAGAAGGCTTTAACTCTAACGTCCAGCTTGTGGGAAATATTTGGAAAGACACAGCAAAGAAATGGGTAATTCAGAATGTGGGTGACCTCAATAAGTGCTAGACTAAACTAATATAGTTCAAAGCCTAATATGAAATTCAGGTCTAAAAAAAAAAAAAAAAGAGGGGACACACCTGCAATTTAGAGAGGACATATTAAAGAGGGTTCAAAAGGAGATAGAGGGGTATGTACCTCAAAATTCATGCAATTTAGAGAGGACATATTAAAGAGGGTTCAAAAGGAGATAGAGGGGTTCAAAAGGAGTACACACGTATGAAATTATCAGTTATGACATGCAAAGATGTCAGAGTTTCTGCACATCAATAGCAAATGTCTACGCCAGCCTTACACTCACAGAAACCAACATGGCAATAGCTAACCAGAGTCCAGAGGGAAATCATGAAATTTGCTTTACAACTTTTAAGTTATTTTTCTGTATGTTTATTTTTAATTATTTTTTATTTTCATTCATTCATTCACTTTGTTGTTGTTGTTGTTTGGAGACAGGGTTTCTCTGTGCAGCTCTGGAGACTGTCCTGGAACTCACTCTGTAGACCAGGCTGGCCTTGAACTCAGAGATCCACCTGCCTCTGCCTCTGCCTCCCAAGTGCTGGAAACAAAGGCGTGCTCCACCACCCTGCTACGCTTGAAAACTTTAATAACCCTGGAAGGAGAGAAGCAGTCCTAGCTTTGGGCAGGGGAGCAGACCACTGCTCAGTGACAAAGGCTCTGCCAGTCTCTGGCCTCCCATGCCATTTTTTCTCAAAGGAACAGCTTGTCAAGACCGTCCACCGAAGCCCCTCAACGTGGCTCTGAATGAAGTGGAGACTGGGAAGTTAACCCAACAGAGACAGGCTCTCAGCCACATGACCTTGAACCTCGAAACATCCTAGAAGCCTAGCTAAAACCAGATTTTTGAACATTTACATCCAATAGAATAAAATAAATAAAGGACAAATTGCAGAAAGAACCAGGAAACATTTATGGTAAAATTCAGAAGGTGATACCCTTGTGGTGGAATTCCCCACAGGCAAGACTGAAGTCCTCATTTAGGCTCCAGGCTTTGGGGATGGGGACAAAGTAATCAGCTAGAGTGGTTACATGGCCTCTAAAAATAGTGGTGAATGAACTGATGCAGACAGAGCAACCAATAGATGGTCCTGTGTCAGAGTCCCAAGTTAGCCAACAACACACTCTGATTTTTGAAGCAGTGCCTACCATATTGCCCAGGTTGGCCTTGAACTTCTGAACTCAAATACTCTGTTTCCCAAGTACCCAGGACTACAGGTATTACCACTTCGATCTCTGGATCTGTCCTACTAGCCACTTGGGAGTTTCTCTTTGGTGGAAACTCTAATTTATTCAGTGTAATAAAGGGCAGTATTTAAGCCGGACATGGTAATTCCAATAGTGAGGAGTTGGAGACAGGAAGATCAGGAGTTTAGGCTAGCTTTGGCTACAGACTGAGTTCAAGGCCAGCCTGTGCTACATGAGACCCTGTATAAAAAACTAGGAGCAACCAAACAAACAAGGACAGTATTAAGTAACTTCTCAGACACACTGAAAATAGTAAGTGGTTTGTATCCACCTGAGACAGGTTTTGTCTTTCTGTTCAATCAGGAAGACATGCTTCTTGCTCATGCTCTGCCTCTCCTAAGACACAAATGAACACCTCAAGTTATCCATATGCACTGCCAGCACTGAGAGTGGACCTCAAAATTCGGACTTCTGTGTACCAGTCACGTTGGCTCCCATAACTCCCCTGGATACCTGACATTCCCTCCGGCCTTCTGTATCCTCATGCGTTCTTCATACTGAGTTGGGTTGTGCTCTTTGCTGAGGCTTAAGGCTGCATGTTTTTGACTTTCCTCATTGTATCGACACAGGATTGCCTGGGAAGGTAGAGATCACAAGCCATGAAATTCCGTGAGCAGATCTAGGAATCAATCGAAGGGACAGACTAGCAATGACTTCACACTCAGCACCTGCTGACCTATAGATCCAGCATCAAGAGACAGCAAATAGGAAAGTTGCTGAAACACATTCAGAATGAGAAATCTCCAGTTTTAGTGTCAATTCTGGCATAAGCCTTGCTGGTTGACTGTAGCCAATCACTCACATGGCCACTGTTGCATCAGTGACAAGGAAAGAAAGCACTTGACAAATACCATGTCAGTCAGAAGTCTGTGAGACTTGAGAAAATGAGCAAGCAAGCATTGCTCCCATGCGTGCTCCCATATCCATGGTTACTGTGTGTTTCAGAGAGGACGCTGAAGCCCAGGGGAGTAATATTCCTAAAATCCCACAAAGAACCAGGGTTCAGACTGGGTCTGAAGAACTGAGGAAAGCACACTTTCCTTCCTGTTCTGGCTGGAGGCATCTGTTTTGAACACTTATATAGCAGAACTAGAATATAGGGCTCCCAAGAATATAAGCTTCATGAGGACAGGCTGTCACCTGAGGTTCAGAGCTGTGCTCCTAATGATGACTAACCAACCCTAAGCACTGGAGGAGAGGAGTTGTAGAGGCTGCTTAAGTATAAGTAGTCATGACAACAGAGGGGCCCCAGGACTGGACACCATTGAACAAGGTCATTTCCTACACTACCCTGGACTTTCTCCCTGGGCTCTGCAAATGGGCTTGGCCTTGTACTATCCTACTCACAGTGTTCAAGTTACTTTGTAGTCACAATGCTTTGGAAAGGCAGTGTTAATATTTTCATTCAATACCAACTAAGGTCAGAAATATGAGGATCTAAGCTACTTGTATATTGATTTCATCCTAAACCACAGCATCACCTAATAGCATGCATACAAAGAAAACCACTGTGGAGGAGACAGATGTTAAAACACATAGCTCAGGGTCTTCTGGGAGAACAGACTGGCCTCTAGCTTAGCTGTTGATTCCTTTCCCAGGCACACATTGGAACACTCCTTGTAGCAACCCCACCAATACTTGCTGAGGTTCTCTCAAGACATGCTGTCATCTAAGCAGGTGGCTCACAGCCACATACCCGACTATCTCCAAGGTTGGCGATATACAGGATGTTGTCCACAGCCAGGACACACGTGGCAGTGGACCCGTCTTTCCAGGCAGGCTTCCTGGGGAAACACATCAGAAACACAGTGACTACTGGCAAGTGCCCAGAAACTAACTTTTAAAGCCAAGCAAAAAGTCTGGCAGGCTAAAACAGACTATATCCTCTAAACTACTTCACGGTTTGAATATGGGTAGGGTACCCAAATTACCCCTGTGTCAAAGGTTGGGATCCCAAAGTGACACTATCAGGAAGTGATGTGGACCTTTAGGGAATGAGGCCTTATAAGAGGTCATAGGTCCTGTGAAAGTTCCCTCAAAGGGAATGTGGGGTGTTACTGCAGATGTGCCCTTGAAGGGAACTGTGGGGGCTCTGGCCATTTTTCCTTTTCTCTTGCTTTCTGGCTCAGATATGAACATTCATTCTGATACTGTCATCATGCTATGCCACTTGAGTCAAAGGGCTGAATTAACTGGGTTGTCTCACGCTGCATCTGAAGTCCAGAATGGCAAGCTAAAACAAAACTGTCTTTTGGGCTTAGGGTGGTCACTCACACCTTCAATTCAGTGCTCCAGAGGCAGAGGCAGGCAGAACCCTGAGTTCCAGAACAGTCAGGGATACACAGTGAAACCCTCTCTTGAAAATGAAAACCAATGCCAAATAATTGTTTCTAACATAGCCTGAGTCAGATCTCTCATTATTATGATGCAGAGATACACACATCTTTTTTAAATATATATTTACTTTTATCTTATATGTACAAGTGTCTTGCTTACATGTATTTAAGTGCACGCCTGGTGCTCCTAGAGACCACAAGAGGTCATTGGATCCCTTGGAACTGGAGTTACAGATAGATAGTTTTGAGCCATCATATGGATGCTGGAAACTGAACCTGGGCCCTCAGGAAGAGCAGCCAGTGCTTTTAACCACGGAACCATCTTTGCAGCCCCAACATACATCTTTAAAAAAACATTTTGTCTTTCACTGTTTCTTTTTTAATTTAAAAAATTATTATTGCATATACATGAATGGTGTGCATGTGCGTATGTGTGGACGGCAAGGCCAACTTTTGGGAGAGTATCATGTGGGTTCCAGGGATTAAACTCAGGTCACGAGAATTAGTGGCAAGCATCCTGGCTCACTGAGCCATCTCACTGGCCCCACAGCCTTTGTAGCTAACAGTTTGAAGAGCATACATGGTCGTGGGTTCTTTTGAGAAAGGAAGCATTGTGCTACATAGCATCACAAGACCGGGAAAGTATTCAGGAAAACACAGCACACTTAGCATTCTGCACAGAGTTACACTCACTGGCTTGAGGCCTGTTTCAGGAACTCTTCGTCGGTGTGTTTAAAAGTATCTAGCAGGCATCTCTTCACAGTTTTCTCCACACTGATTACATCTCCTGGTAGAGAAGGGTCAAACAGAGTAACCATTCAAGAGGGAAGACTGATGCCCACTGTGGTTCTGTTGGTTGTTTTACATATGAACTTATTTCTAAGCATGTCCTTATTAACAATGCCTGTTTTCTCACCTGTAGCAGTGCCATGTGAATTTGGTTGTACTGGTTTTCCCAGTGTGGAGTAAGACAAGACACTAAACACATCCCAAATACTTGACAAGAAGCCAAGATATGATGTTCTATCCACACAGCTCCTTACTTCTGACCCTTAAGTTCACTCCTTGAAAAGCCAATGACCTTTTTTTTTTTTTTTTGCAGGGGTGGGGGGCACATTCTCATGTAGCCCAGGCTGGTCAGACTGCATAGGTGAGAATGACATTTAATTTATGATCTCTTTCATCACATCCAGTATATGTGGTCCTGAGGACAGAGTCTAGGGCCTCACGCATACTATGCAGGTGAACTACCTACTGTGCTATACCAGTATATGTAGTCCTGAGTGAAGGGCCTCATGCATGCTATGCAGTGAACAACCCACTGTGCTATACCGAGGCCCATCAGTGACCCATCAGGCCCAACAAGGTACCTAACAGACTCCACCATGCAAACAGTAGAGACAAGTCAACTGTTCACTCAATTCTCAGTCTCACCTTTAGGAAATTTCCTGATTAAGTTCTGGTGCAAATTCTGTGCAGCAAATTTTGAGGCCCGAATTCCTCCATGTCCATCAAAAACAGCAAAGTATGAAACCCGAGTACTGCAAAAATTAATTAAAAATCAGTTATATCCTTATAGCAATATTATACTTCTTCACTAAAGCTTGTTTTGTTTAATTCTGGATAGGGGCTCCATATTGGGCACAGTCTAGCCTCCAATTACAGACCCTGCCTTGGAGTGCTAGGATTGCATGCAGGCATCACCACATCAAACAATGAATGTCAAGACAGAGCAAGTCACACTGTTGAGATTCAAGTCACACTGACATGTAATGGGGGAAAGGTAGTAATATTTAAGAGATAAATACTTAAGTAACTTTCATGCATCTTAATTATGGGAAACTCAAATTTGAGTCTAGTATGGTAGTTCACACCTGTAATGAAGCTGGAGCAAGAAAACTGCTAAGAGTTTGAAGACAGCCTAGAAAGACCAGCTTGGTCTACAGAGTGAAACCCTATCTCAACATAAAACAAACAAAACATTTGTTTCAAAAACTAAGCTGTGGGCTGGAGAGATGGCTCAGCAGTTAAGAGCACTCGTTACTCTTGCAGAAGACCCAGATTCAGTTCCTAGCACCACATGGTAGTTCACAAACCATCCATAACTCCAGTTTCAGGAGATCCGAAGCCCTCTTCTGGTCTCTGTGGACACTGGGCATGCACATGGTACATATACATACATGCAGGCAAATACTCATATACATAAATAAAAATTTAAAAACTAAGCTACATAATTTTTCAGACAGTGAAATTAGAATTCAGAACTTTAATCCCATTTAAATCAGACTGTTTAACAAACAAAAAAAGTTATTCATACAAGACTCTGGTCAAAAAATGTCCATAAGAACAAGAGAGAAATTCTAGAATTGTTAGTTAAATGTTGACTAATACCTAACTTCAAAGCTTATGGTGATAGTCTTATTTCTATTTCCTATTCAATTTTTTATCAGAAAACCCACATATATGGTAAAAGCCACAAAAAAACAAACAAAAAAACCTACATTGGAGCCAGGTGTGGTAGCATACGCCTTTAATCACAGTACTAGGGAGGCAGAGGCAGGCAGACCTCTGTGAGTTCTGGTCTACATAATTGAGCCAACCAAGGTTATACAGTATGACCATGTCTCCAAAACAGTAAAAACCTACTTCAGGGCCAGCTAGATGGCTCACTGGGTAAAGATCTTGCCTCGAAAGCATGACACCCCGAGTTCAATTCCTCAAACCAATGTAATGGTGGATGTAGAAAATCAACCTCACAAAGTTGTCCACTGACCTCCACATGGGCACCAATGTCATGTATGTACCCTCTGCCCATGTCATGAACATATACAGTCATAAAAATTAATTTAAAAAATGATACCAGAAAGAAAACTGCCTATGAGAAATGACATTTAGTGTTAAGACCAGCTTTTCTTTCAATTCCTACGCAAATTTTTCTTTTGAATTCCTACGCAATGTAAGACAGTATGCACCATGAGAAAACAAGCCTCATCCACCTTACAACTTGCAACCTATCTTTGTGCAATTGGGGATTATGCAGGGAGACTTCCCCAAGGTCCTTTCCAGGCTTTGAAACTACTATATTCCTATCTCTGCCATGATCACTCTGAAGCAACAGTCATCAGTCATAATGATGAGCTGGACAACAGTGTTGGCACATTGTATGTTAATGATCAATTTGTGTCAGGGAAAAACACAGTATGCACACTATGTAGTTCTCGATTATAGAAATTACAGATGAAATGTGTAATTATGTAATTATTCAAACATGATACTATGTATATAATAGAACGTTAACAGTCATGCAATATGCTCTGTCTGCTTGTTTTCTGCCAGGTCTGAGAACTGATCAGAGGCTTCAATTCCATGTATGCAGCTTTTAAAAACATTGCTTTCTCTCTTGCAGGCCATTTTGGCTTCTTTGGTCTTTCTGTGCCCTTGTTATCTATCTGTATAGCCCCTCACACTGCCATCAGACAATGCTGGGTTCATTTTGTTGTTATCTTGGAGGCAGAGCAGAGCCTCAGTCTATAGTTCTAGGCTTCCCAGGAACACAACATACACTGAGTGCTGAGATTTCGGGATAGGATGATAACCAAGTCCCACCACACCCACACTGCCTGCAGACTTTACTCAGCAACTTCCAATCAATCCATCCACTCTCTAGGACACAGAGTAAGAGCACTCTGCCAGAACTGATCAGTCACTGTGAGCGTACAACAACATGGAGTCCACAGCAAGGGACCACTTCCCACTAAGTACTCAGTGCAGCCCTGCAGAAAGTACAGGCTGGGCAAATCTTTGTTGAGGGGCAATCCTACGCTTAGCAATGGTCTCAACCAACCAAATACCAACAGCATATGCCTACTCCAACTGTGACAACAAAATATCCTCAGATATTAACAAATAACTCAAAAAAAGTCCTCCCATCTAAGAACCACTGATGCAAAAAGTAGGCCACTCATTCATCAGTGTTTCTTGGAGAGCCCTCAAACAGTAAATTCAGTAGAACAGAGGAGAAACAAACATCAACCAGGCTTGCTGGAATGCAAATACTCACATGAGGGATGATGGAGGCCGACACTCCTCAGTGATGTCATTCAGGATGACATGGGCATCCTGCATTTCCTCCCTCTCGCCCTTCCGCTCTGCTACATAGCCTTTCAGACCAAAGATCACTGATGAGGCTGAGGAAAGAAAACAAAAAGCCAATACAAAACTGTGCCTTAACCTCTAGAAGCCCTAGTCCCAGAGCAAATAAGAGGTACTATGGTGGCCTCACTCAGCGACATCACTGATGCAAATAAGCAATATCCCTCAAGGCATCTCCCTAGTTATAGGTCTGTAGCACGATCAGGGTTCTGCCAGGAAGCCTGGAGCTGTGGCAGACATGTGAAGTCAGTGGTCAGCACAGAAGAGCTCCACCTAAGGCAGCGAGAGCCAAAGAAGTGCTGCCTCATGCAGAGGTGGGACTAAGGGACCAGGAAAAGAGAGTCCCAAGTGTAACTTTAATCTGGTAACAATTTAATGAGGACAGAAAACTCCCATTTCTAAGAAATTCAGATTAGTGGAGTTGTCAAATACTCTGCTGGAGACCCTGAAAAATTGTACATTTCCATGCTCCAGGCTGCCAATAGTGACAACAGTCACTTGTATTCCAACTGAGGAAATGAAGGAACAGGGAGTCTGCTATAGTACGGAATGGTGTCAAATGTAGACTCTGGCTAGTTTAAGTTCTCTGCTGGCACCTGCGGCACTTCTAGCACTTCTAGACGCCTTTAGCCATGTCTCAGCAGTGCTGCCACACTACTGCTATAGCTCCCACTGGGCTGTGTGTGAAAGTCCACAGCCATTTCCCTCAGTTAGTACAGGAAGTGAAAGTCCACAGCCATTTCCCTCAGTTAGTACAGGAAGTGAAAGTCCACAGCCATTTCCCTCAGTCAGTACAGGAAGTGAAAGTTCACAGCCATTTCCCTCAGTTAGTACAGGAAGTGAAAGTCCACAGCCATTTCCCTCAGTTAGTACAGGAAGTGAAAGTCCATAGCCATTTCCCTCAGTCAGTACAGGAAGTGAAATTTCACAACCATTTCCCTCAGTCAGTACAGGAAATGAAAGTCCACAGTCATTTCTCTCAAGTCAATACAGGAAGTGAAAATTTCTCAGTCAGCATAGGAAGTGAAAGTCTACAGCCCTTTCTCCCAGTAAGCAAAGGAAGTGAAAGTCTACGGACATTTCTCTAAGTCAGTATAGGAAGTGAAAGTGTACAACTGTTTCTCTCAGTCAGTACAAGAAGTGAAAGTTCACAGCCATTTCTCTCAGTTTGTACCGGAAGTGAAAGTCTACAGCCATTTCTCTCAAGTCAATGCAGGAAGTGAAAATCTACAACTGTTTCTCTCAGTCAATATTGGAAGTGAAAGTTACAACCATTTCTCTCAGACAAAGTTAATCAAGAATTTTAAAACAAAAACTGGTAGTCAGGAAAAATGGATGGTCAAAAGTCAGCCAGTGATTTCTGAAGAGGTTATGGGGTGGGGGGGCATAGGTCCTTTTCAACTCTGAGGAACAATGTGGTTGGTTTCCTATCAGGTCAGGCAAGTATATGAAAAGCAAAGGCAGTTTTAGAAATCATCTACAAAAGGCATGTGTGTGTGTGTGGGGGGGGGCGCGGAGCCCACTTCTTAAACTCAGAGTAATGCAGTTAGGAAGCTGAGCCTGGCTTTGCTCTGGGATGTTTAAGATATGAAATCTAATACATTTGTTTTCAAATTGTCTGAAAACCTTTACAAACTTTCTTTTCCACAAGCTCTTCACCGCCATTCTTCTCTTCCTGTGGAGCTTTCCTCTTTGTTCCTTTTCCTTCATGCTTCACCACCTGGGAAACTGATGTGGCAAGAGAACCTAGAAATGAAGTAAAAGTCAGACAGAAACAGCTACAGACAGCAGAGTCACCAGCAGACTAGGTGCCATCCAGTCAAGCCCTAGAGACACCAAGGCATTTTAGGCAAGGACCAGCACATACAGTGCCTGGGGCTAGGACTCCTGGTTGGGGAGGTAGGGCAACATTCAGGCAGAATGAAGAGTTTAAGAGTTTGTGTCCCGGAGAATTCTCAGTAGCAGAACTTTGTATACAAACAAACTTTTAGCATATTCATGATGTATTATATCCACAGACCCTTAGTGACTGATAGGTAAATTTCCAAAAGCTATAAGCAGACTCATTATGTTCCCAAACAAGTAATAGGTTCCTAAAAGGCTCAAAATGAAGTTAAAAGGTGGGCTCTACCTGAAAGGCAGAGTGCTGCTGGAGCTGTTCCTACATCTGTACTCAAGCCATACCTAACTGCCCCAGCAGTGCTCAAGTGTTTGGAATGCATACAGTCTCTAACTTCAGTTTCTAATCTTCCAGCCAGTTTCTTCATTCATAACATGGTGAGAGTATACCATCTTCAGGAACTATGTGAATGTTAATAGAGACAAGATACATAAACCATCTCTGTGGTGCCTGTTATGTCAAATGTCTGTAAGTGTTCTCTGCGGCCACTTATTAACCCATTCTTTACGAAAAAGAAAAAGCTCTGTGCTAAGATTCAAGATTCAGCTACTTGCAAAAGGGCATATTTCCACATTGGTTTTACAAAATACACGACACCCTGCATAAAAGAGCAACTTAATAAGAAAATGTCATGGGTGTTTACAAGAGTCTCCATCAGCATCACTGAGTCCCAGTTTCCTTTTCTGTGCCCTTTCTAATTTACACCGCTGCTACTGAGCTCCAGGTGAACTCCCCTGCACCACAGGACACAGTCTGGATAGGAAAGACTCTCAAATAGGACTTACCTTACAGACTAGCATGTGGTCCACTCCCACAAATGGTTTCTGCCCACTTGAGAAGAGTGAGCAGTCTTCCAAGAAATCCAAAATATTGGGCACCAGATTATATATGTAACTCAACAGTGCTGTATAACTCTTCTAATCATTACTGTTTCTGCCCCCACGAATAGCTAAGAAATTAGTTATCCTTAAATAATTCTTAAATTAAATCTATAAAAAAACTTGTTTTGCATATTAACCTTCATAATTAAGAGCACTGAGTTCATTAGGGAAATGTTCAAGGCTGATTGATATGATCCTGCTGTAATTCTTTGGTATGAGTTCACAGCCCTGAAAACTTGGGGATTCTTATATAAGACAATTAAATACTTTTTCTAAGTGAGCCTACTGGTTTCACAGGAATAAACCTGTGAAACAAAAACCTATTTGGAAAAGTATCAAGTATTCTTTCTACTTGGAGCAACAAATGGAACTTTTAACCACAAAAAATAGGACCACCTGCAGCCTCTCCCCAGTCTCCACCACAGCAACTCCAAGCAAGAGGCTATCAACTAGACAGAATAACCAGTATATCCATCACTCTTCCCTAAGAGAACACAAAAAGAACAGAACACTCATGTATCTGTGATTGTGAAAAACATGAGGCAAGTCAGAGTAGTAGATGGGAAAAATTTTAAAGGTTAATATCAAAGTGGAGAGTAAATTTCTGACCTTTTAATTATTATTATTATTATTATTATTATTATTATTATTATTTTGAGATATGGGCTCACTATGTAGCCCAGACTAGTCTGGAACTAAAGTTCCTTCTGCTTCTGAATGCTGAGATTACAGGCAGGCATCTCCATGCCTGCATCTTAATTCTTAACAGTCAGCCTAGCAAGTGATGGCAAAGTTAAAGAAACAAAATGGTGATGTAGTACTGAGGTCTCTAATCTCTGCCTCTACCTGAGGCTGCCTGTTCAATTTTAATAGACTTTATCTGTATTGTATTTCAGTGTCATTCAAAATCCTGCTAAAACCCATGGATACAGTTTACACAGCAGCAAAGGAAAGATTGCCTCCATTCATACCTTGGAATCTGTTTGCCTACCTGGATCACCACTGCCAGCAGGTGGGAGATCATCAAAGAGTAAAGGTCCCCCAGATCCTGAAACACAGAAGAACCCAGAATGAGTCCAAAATGAACAACCAGGCTTCAGTTTCAGAATCCATCCCACCAGGACACCTATGCAACAGGTTATTGAGACAAACTCAAAACTTGTGTCAATCCAGGGTAATTCATTCTGCAGGGAATAATATCCGGAACCTATTTTAAAGTCCTATGATTTCAAAGGAAATAGAAATTCTGTCTTAAAGAGTTGAATTTTACTTCAACTAATAAAATACTGAATTGAACCAGAGAAAAGTGCTCGTCGTGTTTGCATAGTACTTCTCAGGATTAGCTACTGCAGGTCTTTCTGCCTTACCTGAGGCCATGGGTTCAAAACTTAAAGACAGCCAACACCTAAAACATCTGTGTGTTAAAAATGGGGGAAAGGGAGAAAGATTGAGACAACTACAATCCCAGGATGAGTAGACGTTGACACACACCTGGGAAAGCCTGAAGACTGTACCTGAATCAGTACTGCTGGCCGGGGGCAGGTCCTCAAAGAGCACGGGTCCTTCCTGTGCTTCTTTCCCTAAAACAGAAACTTGTTTAGAGAGCAGACAGCCACCCAGGACAGATGTCTACAGGGAGTACTGTGCCCTCCCTGTTCTGGGTTACACCGCAGATGCTCACCTAAAACAGACATGCACAGGGAGCACTGTGCCCTCCCCTGCTGAGTTGGGTTACAGATGGTCACCCAGGACAGATGTCTATAGGAGCACCATGACCTTCCTGCTCTGCATTAGGTGCTACAAGTCAGACTTTCTCCTTTCTGTTAAATAGATGTATTCTTTCTTTTTTTTTTTTAAAGATTTATTTATTTATTATGTATACAACATTCTGCTTCCATGTATATCAGCACACCAGAAGAGGGCACCAGCTCTTACAGCTGGTGGGTGTGAGCCACCATGTGGTTGCTGGGAATTGAACTCAGGATCTCTGGAAGAGCAGTCAGTGCTCTTAACCTCTGAGCCATCTCTCCAGCCCAGACGTATTCTTAAAAATCTCTTCTGGACAGCTATTTACTACGGAAAGGCCCCTGCTTCCAACAATCACAGCTAACATAAAACAATGAAATGATACCCTAGCAAGTGCCAAATTTAAGAATTATTTGGTTTTTTTTGGGAGGGTGGGTAGGTGGGAGTGGGAGACAGTGTCTTATTATACAGCCCTGGTCTGAACCTCTCAATATAGACCAAGCTAACCTCAAACTCATATAGAGCCTCCTGCCTCTGCATCCTGAGTACTGGGATGGAATACCAGTACTAAGGATGGAACACATACTAAGTGTGTGCTCTACCACTAAACTACACATAATGTACCCTTGTTCCTAAAATCTTCCCTTAAAAGAGAATCACTCAAAGAGAAAAGGTGACTATTGTACCTCAAGGAGGAGTTGAAAAGCAAAGGGAACCTCCAAAGGCCCATGGGTACTACTGAATGCTATTTTGGTGACTTCTGCAATGGGAGAATACCTATCAGCAATGTGAATCAATGGAGAGAACAGGAGTTTCAGACAGCTGAAAATGGACAGGCCTCAGAAAAAAAGCCAAGGAATATTTCTGTTTTGTTTTGTTTTGAACCTAAGAATCTGAAGATTTAAATTCTAAATGTCTTATGTCCTATTATCATTTTTACATAAAATCTAACTACTATTCCCTACTCCCCAGCTTCTAACAATCTTCCAAAAGTCTACTTAAACTATCAAACATATGAACTAACTAGAATCTGCAGAAAAACATCCTGATGGAGTGGGGACCCCTTACCTACACTTTGGAGCTTCGGTTGGTCATTATCAACGGCAGTCCAACTGTACTAAATGGGGAACTTCCTATTCTAAGTTAGCATAATGAAACCTCGTGCTACTCTCAGCCCACTGTGTGTCCCTTCATCCAGGGAGTCCTTGCTCTCTATGCTACCTGTCACTCAATCACTCAGAAGCCATTAGTGATTACTGGCAATTTTGGTTATTAGACTGACAGCCACAGTACACCACTTATGTTCAAGCAACTTTTATTTTACTTAAGAATGATCCCAAAGCACACAGTTTTTTAAAATTTATATTTATTTAATTTTATGTGTACAAGTGTTTTGCCTGTATGTATGTATACCATGTGCACGCCTGGTACCCAGAAGCCAAAAAGAGGGCATTGAATCCTCTGTAACTGGAGCTTCAAATGGTTACAAGCTACCAAATAGGTGCTGGGAATGGAACCTGTGTCCTCTGCAAGAGCACTGAGCCAATTTCTCCAACCCCCAAAACATGTATTATGATTATTTTATTATTAGTTACTGTCAATCTCTTCCCATGATTAATTTAAAAATTTAACTTTACCACAATACCATGCACAGGGAAGAACAGAGAGTTCTACATTTTTAGTACCTACATGGGTTCTTAGAATATATGGCTGGGTACAGATGACCACTATACAGCATGCTAAATTCCTACAGTGCCCTTTAAGAGGACCTGAGCTCAATTCCTAGCACCTACAGACCTAACACTCAGACCTTTGTCTGCTGCTTGTTTCTTAGACCACATGCAAAAACACCCTCATGTAAATCAGTTCACTTAAATAAATTTATAATCCTCAAGAGGTTCATTGGTATCATAATTTGGTCTCCATATAAAGATGAGATGGTACGGTTGACTTGAAAGAAAATGATCCCCAAAGGGAGTCTCACTATTAGGAGGTATGGCCTTGTTGGAGGAAATGTATCACTGTGGAGGTGGGTGATGAGGTTTCATATATGCTTAAGCCATGCCCAGTGAGACAGACCACTTCTGTTGCCTGCAAGCCAAGATATAGGGCACTCAGCTACTTCTCCAGCACCATGTCTGCTTGCAAGACACCATGCTGTACCATGACTGACTAACCCTAAAAACGTAAGCCACCCCATTTAAATGTTTTTCCTTTGTTAGAGTTGCCATGGTCATGGTATCATTTCACAGCAATAAGACAGATGGCTATTAATTCTCCTTTTTACCCTTTGTAGTGTACATGTGGGTGCGTGTGCTCAAGTGCCATGTGTGTATATGGAGGCCAGAGGTGGATGCTGGCTGTCTTCTTTGACTCTCTCTACAGGGACTTTTGAGCCTACAGTTTGCTCATGCAGCCCATCTAGCTAGCCACTGTGCTTCAGAAATCCATCTCTGTCTCCCCAGTGTTGGGACTGCAGGTGGATCACCATACCCACCCTGCATTTACATGGGTAGTGGGGATCTGAACTCATCTTCATACTTGCATGGCAAGCACTTTACCCACTGAACCATCTCCCTAGCCCAATTCTCCTCTTTTAAAAGGAAAAGTAGAATTTATCAATTCCAAGGAAGGGAATGTCTTGGCGATATTTAGGTCAGAAGTACCTTAAAATATACAAAACCCCTAAAGCTAATAAAGTCTCTCTGCTTTATTCCCATATTACAAATAAGAAGAGATGCTGTCAGGATTCCCCAACAAACTGAAGAATCACAAATAATTTCATTTCTCAAGAGACACAAAATCTACAGAAACAGGAGGCAAAGCTACCCCCTTGGTATTAGTGAAAGACTGTTTCTGGGCCACTACAATACACAAATCCAGGGATGGTCACTATCTTACATAAATACACTTTACCCAAACAACCCACCAACACCATCCTGTATTCCTTACACTGTCTTTAGAATAGCTGTGCCCAACACACAGTATATACTTCAAAAATGGCCCCTAGACTGTATCACTTACGCAAGTATAACTAGAAACCAGTCCGTACATGCTCAGTACAACCTTAAAAATCTGTTACAATTTGCAGTATGTTGAATTGACAAGTATGGAAGGAACCCACAGACACAAAGAGCTAACTCTATCCTAAGAAGTAGAACACTAAAGAGTACTTACCTTATGTATTAATTCCTCTACAAAACCACTGACATTCTATTAGCTCACTTCCAAAGGTCTAACAATCAGAATGCCCAATCCCCCGACACTCAAAACTGTATTGGGTTAGTAGCTGGTGCGATGGCTCGGCAGTTAGAGCACTTGCTCTTGCAGAGGACCTGGGTTCAATTCCTAGCACCCACAAGGAGACTCTCAACAATTCATAACTCCAGTTCCAGGTGATCCAACACTGTCCTCTGACATATGGGGATACCAGACACACGTGGGGCACACAAACACAGGCAAAACACCAATACACACAGTTTTGTTTTGTTTTGTTTTTTAAATGAGACAACCTAGGACAACTACACTTCATTCACTAGGCCAGGACACCAGCAGGCCAAGCCTCTTAAGGAGAGGGGCATGTATATTATAGCAAAGAGGCCAACCTGACAATCAACCCTTCTCATCTAAGCATGGTCTTTCCACCATCACTGTCCAATAGAGAAAGCTGTCTGTGCATAGGTAACACATGTATTTTCAGTTCTTATAGGAACTACTTAAGAGATTTCCTGCTTCCTGCCAGCCTAGTTCCCCTCTTCAGCCATAACACTGAGATTGTTCAAACAGCACCATCACCAAAGAACAGTATGTTTGCTGTTCTTTCTCACACCAGAATACCATCAGAGGTACTTCAACTAAACACAGTGAGAGTACCTCACATTTTATTCCCCACAACTAAGAATTAGTTGTACATCAGGGGAAGAATAGAAGAAAGGATATGTGATAGGTAGGGTTTTAGTTGGGGGGGTGGTGGTTGGGGAGGACGGGAGGGAGAAGGGAACTGGGATTGTCATGTAAAATAATCTTGTTTCTAATTCAAATAAAAAATGATTTTAAAAATTAATAAAAAGAAGAAAAAAAGAATTAATTGTACAACAAAATATTCACTGCTTGTAAGGCACTATACTAAGGGCTCTAAATATTTTAAGTCATTGATTACTATAATTCTACAAATACTGTCACTACTCAATTCAGAGAAAGCTGAGACACCAAGACCAATGAAGATTCAAACCCAGCTGGCTGATTCCCCAGTGTGGGCTCTTGCCGGGCACCTGCCCTGGACTTTACAAAGACCAGTTCATACTTTTACAGTTCTCCTACAGACTAATCACATGCTAATGAGGATGTCTTTGGACACTTTTCACATCTTTAATATGGTCAAACAGATGTATCTGGATCCTTTAATATATACTGTAGGTTATAAACACTACGGTTGAGATTAGACAAAAGGCCAGGAAGAGATGTGGTTCATAAACACTATACTATGGAACTTTCCATTAGCCAAAATCCTGCACTGTTTTGAATAGAAATCCAAAGTATGTGAGCTACAGTTGTCAGCCTCCACCAGGCAACTTGCAACTTTGATCCACAACACTAATAGAGAACGAACTGCACACTTTTCCAATCACAGCTAATATTACTCATCCCCGCCCCTGCCATTATCTATATCCAGGCACTATGTCTACTGGGTATTATATATTATGATAAGACTTTTTTTTTGAACAGTGTCTCACTATGTACCCAGACTCTCCTGGAACTTGCTACGTAGACCTAGACCAGCCTGGCCTTGAACTCAGAGGTTTGGCTGCCTCTGCCTTCCAAGTGCTAGAATTAAAGGCATGCACTAAGATGTTGTCTCTTTATTAATTCTGTGAATTTTTAATCATTAGATATTAATATAGTAATCCTTCATAATATATTGTATTATTTTCTCACTACTTTAACTTTCTATGACTTGCATTTTTTCCTGCTGTATACTAAGCTTTGGAAGTAGTATGTCTTCTTCTGATAAATTTCAACTTTTATTTTGTTTGTATTTCTAATACTTTTCAAATAAATACCCACAGAGGTAAGTACTGTACATGTCTGTGTCCATCTGTGTGTCCATCTGTGTGTATGTGTGTGTGTGTGTGTGTGTGTGTGTGTGTTATAATTAAAGAAAAGCAGCGCCATGTAACAGGGTTCAAGATGGTTTTTTTTTCCCTCCCTTTTGGGAAAGAAATAATAAAAAGGGGAAAGGGAAGTAGGGAGACCAGTCTCTGGAGACAGGAGAAGCAGGAGAAAGGAAAGAGGGGGAAGAGAGAGGAAAGTGGGAGGGGGGACTAGACAGAGGGAGGGGGGAGGATGGGAGGTGGGCAGGGTCCTTTTAAAAGGGAACATAGTGAATGTGCACAGGTGGTGCTCTTAGTGGCTGCAGCTGAGGGTGTGTCCTGTCAGAACCCCAAGGACAGACCAGTACAGATGCCTGAACACTAATAGTGTGCCCATGTGTGCATGTAGGTATGTGTACAAGTGTGTGTGAAGGCTAGAAGTCCGTGTCCAGGCTCTTCTTCAATTGCTATATCATCATCACATCATCATGTTTCTCTGTACTGCCCTGGCTATCTTGGAACTTGCTCTTGGTCCCTAACTCATAGAGATCTGCCTGCCTCTGCCTCCAAGTGTTGGTATTAAGGGCATGCTCCACCTCCTCCTCCTCCTCCTCCTCCTCCACCACCACCAAACACTATCTTTTCTTTTTCCTGACAGGTCTCTTATTGAACCTAGAGCTTACCCTTGTGGCTAGGTTGATAGCAGCTGCACTCCAGAGGTCTGCCTGTCTCTACCTCCCCATTGCTGAGATTACTGACATGTGTTTTCACACCAATCCCTAAAACATACTTTTACATTAACCTGTCTTTAAATCTCAGTTTATTTGAAGTGCTGGGGATTGAACTCATGACTTCTCAGACTGACAATCAGGTGTTTTTGCTTTTTGGTACCAGTTCTGAACACAGGGCCTCACACCAGTGTGCTCTAGCTCCATTCTGACCAACAGTTTTGAACACACTGGTGTTAACAACCAAATAAGTGGACCACTCTACATAACTAAACAATCCATGTAAGCATTTTATAGACCTAAGAGAAAAGTTCCACTACTGATATAAATAAGCAAAATTCCCTTTAGCGAAAGATAGATTTTTTAAATATACTCAACTATCAAAATCTTTTAAGTCCTGGGGTAAAACCTGCTAATTAGTGCAATATCTGAAATATATATCACATACTTTCTACATGTCTTACAGGTCATAAAAATTTAAGTGTTGTGGGTCTGAATATAAGATGAGATACCAAAAAAACCAAACCAAAAGCACTCAACAAAACATGCCTGCTATGCTGAGGGTGGCATCATCTTCCTCCATACACTCAGCACTTTTTACAAAATCATTGCAACTGGTTTTAAATTGCTGTTACAGTGCACATCTCATGGATGTTACCAGCCAATATTTACAAAGCCCTGACTATGTGCTCCAACCTGGGCCATGTGTTCCACTAAATGTACTGGTACTTTTTAATCTATACAATATCTGCAGGAGGTTTCACCTATTACACACAAGCCAATAGTTCCTGAAGGCAAAGAGTAGTGCAAAGCCAGATTTGAAGACACAGTCATGTTCCACTTTTCACACAGTATGTGTAAATGGTCAGGTTTTTTTTTTTGTTGTTGTTGTTGTTGTTTTGTTTTGTTTTTTGTTGATCCCACTACTATTTTGGACATTTGTTACACTGATTCATCATGTATGAGGGTCAGTATGCAATTTAGTCTCATCCTTCTGACTGCTTAGCAACCCACATGATTTTCTGAAGCAAAATATGTCAGAACATGGTCTCAGAACGGAGTCCTGTGAGAATTCTGAGAGCTTGTGAGAAAACTTTAAGAAAACCAGACATGAGTCTCGTGACCTCAGTTTCTTGAAAACACAGAATTGTTCTTGGAATGTGTTTTTGTGCTCCTCCCATGTGTAGTGGATAGGAATGATTTTACTTCATATCATTCATTATTGCCTGCTGCTATTACTCAATTAAATGCTTGCAGCATGGTATGCAAATTAAATTTTAAAGCTGAAATCATATTAAAGCATTTAAATCACATTAATGATGATTTAAATCATCACCTTGGAGCCAGAGATGATGGCTCAGCAGTTAAAACCACTGGCTGGTCTTTCAGAGGACCTGGGTTCAATTGCCAACACAGAAATGACAGCTCACAACCGTCTGCAACTCTATTCCAGGGGTTCCTACTCCCTCCTGGGCCTCTGCAGGTACTAGAGGCACAGGTGGTGCAAATATGCATGCAGACAAAACACTTGTACACATTAAAATAAAACTTTCTCTTGTTAGGGTGTTTTGTAACTATTTTGTGGGTACTGTTGCTGTTTTTTTGAAACAAAGTCTCATTATGTGGTCCAGACTGGCCTGGAACTCAAGATCCTCCAGACAGGGCCTCTATAGAGTACTGGGCTTACGGATACATTACCCTGGGCTAGGCTCATCTACTCTGTTTTAACTGCTTGCTACAGTAACTTTGAATCTCAATTCTGCCAGTTTCTTCAGTATTTATTCCTCAACAAATTCTAAAAGCCTGTCTTGTTTGTTTTAAAACTGGAAGAATACACTGTAACAGTGTCAACATCCTCCTGGCAAGCAGAAAGCACTTTCCAAACGCACTCCTAGGGGCAAAAGATCTTAAATACCCCACAGCCTCTACGCAAGCAGGTCAGCCTGGGCTGAAAGCTGAGCTTGGGAGGGCAAAGGGGTGCGAGGAAGGGGGTGGGGAGGGGAGGGGAAGGCAGCATCTCATCTACTAAATTCCAAGTTTTAATAAGGAGTTGTAAGGTTTTATGCCATATCAAGAGAGTCTTGACCTCGGAGAAGGCCCAAATTAATTTTGGATAAAAAGCAATAAGGACTACAATGATGACAGATTTCCAGGCACACCTGGTAATCCAAACTCTGCCCAAAGCACGTTCAGATACTGGTTATTCTCCAGTGACAGACGGCAAATTACTCATATAAAGCCAGCTTTACTCAAAACGCTAACGGTGGTTATCTTCAAAAAGAATGGCTGAGCCAAATTCACAGACTCAAGGCCTCATTATTTAGAAGCTCCTGTTACCAGAGTGGTTGGTGGGTGCAAATAACGGTACCATTATTGGGAGCAACGGCAAAAAGATGGCACTACAAAGCATCTCAATAAAGTCTGGAGGCGCGTAGGTGAGAAGCCAAAACGCAGGCCCCTAAGAGGACAGAACAATACCTTCTCGTGACCCCGAGCCCCAGCACTCCTCCATGCTAGCCGGCCTCGCTCCGGCAAGCCAGAGCCCTTCCCCCTTTCGAACACTTGGTTTCCTTGTCTCGAATCTCTGCAAACCATCCTGCGCCCCATCTCGAGGAGCTCTCACCAAAAGCCGCCTCCTTCCCCGGTCTCTCAGGTACCGTTCCACGGGGCGCTACGTGTTTCCCACGGTTGATAACCTCTTCACTTGTGATCAGGACTGAACCACCTTCCTATTCCCTGCCAAAGACGTTCCCAAAACGTGGGCTGCAAACGCTTCCCGGGCTGGCCGTGCAAGTCGGCGCCGCGGGCACGGGACTCGAAACTTGTTCTCTAAGTTCTCGGGGTTCCCAGCACGCAGTTAGGCCGGGCCCAGGGCACCCGGCCGGGAGTCTTGCTGTGGCCAAACTAAAGCCAGCAGGGAGTCCCGACCTTTAGGTGCG